ACCTGAAGATGTCTTGAAGAAACTGAAGTCACTGGATCCTCACAAAGGAATCGGGCCTGATGAAATACCTCCATCCGTTCTAAAACACTGTAGCGAACTCATTGCTCCCCAGCTAACTGTTCTTTACAATGACAGCTTAGCATCTGGTGTATTTCCTGCTGAATTTAAAATGGGCTTCGTAGTACCAATACACAAGTCTGCGTCTAAAGAGGAAGTAAAAAACTATAGACCCATTGTGATTCAGCCTGCACTCGCAAAAATCTTTGAGAGTCTCCTTCTTGATGCAATTAGTTTTCCCTTCAAGAGCTTGTTAAGTGTGGCTCAGCATGGTTTTATGCAGGGTAGATCTACAAACACTAATCTTCTTATTTTGCAACATCACATAATCACAGCATATTCATCCAAGGAGCAACTAGATTGTATCTATATTGACTTTAGTAAAGCATTCGACTGCATCAGCCACGACCATCTTTTGGCAAAATTAAAAGGGTATGGCATAGTCGGAAGCCTTTTGCGATGGTTTGAATCATATCTTAAAGACCGCACCTTAGCTGTCAAGTTTGCAGGAGCCAAGTCAATCCCTTTCCCTGCGGTTTCTGGAGTCCCCCAGGGTTCTCATCTAGGTCCATTTCTTTTCAATATATTTGTTAACGATGTTGTGGATAGTATCGACTCTCAGTGCTTGCTGTTTGCTGACGATATCAAGGTTTTCAAGTGTATAAAATCTCAGGCAGACTGTTCCACCCTTCAACAATGTTTGCACTCAATCGACAACTGGTGCCTGGATAACAGCATGGATATCAATGTTTCAAAGTCTGCAGTGGTATCTTATCACCGTACCGAGCAGCGTATTGACTTCTACTACACGATGAATAATGCCATCCTGCCACGGAAGAGTGCCATACGAGACCTAGGAGTTTTAATGTCATACGATTTAAACCCAGACCTGCACATAAATACAATCTGCAATAAAGCCTCTAAAGCTCTAGGTTTTGTCATTAGATGTGGTAGATACGGACTTGATGTTAATGCTCTGAGAACTCTTTACATGACTCAGGTTAGGCCTGTGCTGGAATATGGCAGCTTGATATGGAATCCACATCAAATCAGCCACATATCAAGAGTAGAAAAAATTCAGAATCGCTTTCTTCGCTCTATTGGCGTCAAGTTGGGCCATGAATTCTATACAGTGCCGATTGAAGATATTCGCATCGATATGGGCCTTCCTCGACTGAGTGACCGTAGACAATCTGCAGACCTGTCTTTCCTCTGGAAGTTGTTGAACGGCGAAGTTGATGCTCCAGAAATACTTCGCCTAATTAATTTCCACGTTCCTCGACACTTCAGGCACATTCAACTCTTCAACAAAGCTTCTTTTTCTACAAACTACGCCTTCCACAGTACAATTCCACGGCTCCACAGAATTGGAAATCAAGCATGCCAACATGTTGACGTGTTCACCTGCAAACTGAAAGCCATAAAAAATATCATAGTTTAAGTTGTTATTGTTATTGTTATTTTGTTGATGAGAAATTGTCCTGAGATCACTGTCCGGAATTTGCACCTTGTTTGTTGTTTGCACATTCAGATAAATTTGTATTGCACTGTTAAAATTTTTCACTTAGTTTACGTCACTCTTATTAATTGTTGTAATTTTTTTCTCTTTTTTTTGTCTTGTCTGTCAAATATATTTATATTTTTGCTTGTTATTGTTATTATATTGAAATATTTATCAATTGTTATATAGTTTTGGTAATCGTATTTTTCTCTAAAAATGTTTATGCTTGTTAACTAGGATTTATAATACGCATGATCCAATTTTTGTTAAAGCATTTTTGGACAATTCTGTTGGTGTCATTTTTTCATGTTAGCAATCTTTTTTTTTCAGCAAGATGAATCTGAATCTGACTTATATATATTTATAAATATTTTATTGTATTGCCCTCATGTATTATCAATTGTAAAAATGGTGTTTACCGTATGATAAATAAATAAATAAATAAATAAGAGAAGAGTGACGTCACGCCCCCCAATCCTTCGCTAGAGGTTCTCATCGGTTCCTGACTGGGAAAACGAGGCGCTATCGCTATATATTATAGTAGTCACATGACATATGTACTAACTACCGGTAGATCTACCACAGATGCCCTCAAACTTTCAAGAACGAATTACCATACACTTAATGAACCCCTCACTCCTTTTCCAGAAGATTAGATTACATAAACTGTCAACACAACCGGGTGTGTATTTAAAAACGAAAATAAGTATAGTTATAACTTATGAACTGTCTAGTGCTTTTTTACTGATTTAGATCATTATTTGCTCTAAATCTATACAATTTTTTACTTGAAGCCCAATAATCAAATACAGCTGTAATCAAATACAGCTACCGCTGTAATCAAATACACAGCTACAGCTGTAATTAAATACAGCTACAGCTGTAATCAAAATCAAATACAGCTGCTGGCTAGGAGGTGGATCACAGCCACCTTTGGATCCATCCTATTGCTCTAAGATATTTGGTTTACAGGTCTAGTACTTTCAATTCAAGCAAAAATTAATTCAAAACTATCAGAATTCCTATAAATTATAAAACTAGTTGCAGGCCAAAATATTAAAAACCCAAAATGCACGGTAGTTAATTGACTTTCATATTCGATGGTGGTATCATTGATTATAGTGGGGAGGTAAATAATCAATTGTTAGTATGCAATTCATGACATATTATGGCTTACACTGTCGGTTATTTGGGAAATCGGTCAGATGCGACTATTTCAGTTTCGGCCATCTGGGATCCCACGTCCATAAACATGTCAACACAGTCAAACCGTCATAAATAGAAATAATTATTTTGAATCTGAACTGGTACAGTCAAGATAAAAAAATAAAACAATGAATTAAAAACCAAAACAAATGTTTAAATTGAAAATCCATTTTTTGTGCATTAAAGTGGAGTGAATATTTTCATAGCCCAGTAACCAAAAGCTCTCGTATTCTAAAAAAAAATACAGAAATGCCTAGCTCCAATAACGCATTTAGGGCTGGAATTCTCAGATTGAAGCAAATATGTGGGTGGCTGGTTGCGGAGTGAAAATTAGTTTTGACTTTAAGAAAGTGAGTACTTCCAGAATGTAAATACAGGGAAAAGTTAGAATTGCAGATGATTTAAATACAGCTCTACGACTACGAGTATGTTTGTAGAGGAGGCCATGAATTATTCTGAGCTCTCCCTTGAAGACGAAAAAGGAAATGGGTTCTTGTGTGCTTTCACCACCCCATAGTGCAACTGCATATATCGTGTGTGGATAAAGAGCACCGTAAGAAGCAGTAAGTACATCTACACATGTAAACCTACATTTATTCGAACGAGTTCGCGAACCACCATGATCGGACTATGGGAACGGGGGTTTATGGGGTAAAAATATGGTTTTCGCGTTTTTATCCTAAAAACACAAATTTTCACAGTTTCTTTCCAAACCCTTTTGTAGAGCTTAAAACAAATAATTTAGTATATTGAAGCGTTATTGTGCACCCAATGTTCACGGAGAAAATTCCAAAAAAATTGTAAATTTTAAATTCCCATGTTATTCTTATTGTAGTTTGCTTGTTTATGAACATATTTGATCGAATTTGGAAAATACATTCATTTCTTACAAAACTATTTACCTTAAGAAATCAGGTAGTTATAACCAAATAAGAAACACCAAAAATAACTACTATAAGAGGTTGTTTGAAGAGAACAGTAAAAACCCAAGTAAGATATGGGAAAATATAAACAGCTTGTTAAACTGAAAGAAAAAGAATTAACATTTCACAACAAAAAAAAACACTTGATTACCCTTCCTGTTGCAACAAACCTAAGTAATCGTTAAAATAATTCTATTTAAATAGGGAATAAATGGGATATTTCTAAGGAGGCATTTTAGTGTAAATCCAATCAGGCAAATGAAAAATTTGCTTAGTCTGCAGGTTTGCTGTGGTGGGGGTATTTTTTATTTGACTGGCTGCCAATCTCGAAGAAGAAATTATTAAATCGATCAGCTACTATGTGGATCTATGATTAAATTAAATTTCTCATCAAGGAGGTGGGGTTCCTTAAATTGTTTTTATTTCCCCATTTTTATTTTCATTCCATTGCATCCCATATCTTGCTTTTATTTTCTACCTGGGGCCCATTTCATAATAAAGTACAACCTAATATTATTAGTAAATCAGCTGATCGCAAATCTAATGAAAATTACAAGTTACAAGTTGTAACTTGTAACTTGTAGTTTATTATGAAATGGGCCCCTGGTTTATTTTACATAAGAACAATAATTCAGAATTCTTTTGCCCCACGAGTGTTTTTTTTTTTTTTTTGCCTCATGTAATGTTCGGAGGGAAGATATTTTGTTCGGTTTTATTTAGAGCCGGTCAATCATTTCTGTCATTAGCTGCTTCCAAACAAAACAGCTGTTACTACACCACTTGCAATGTTGCCACTTCGAAGGCCGCGACTGTCCTCTGTAGGTAGAAAATTCTATAGCCCCGGGTAGAAAGTTCAGAGATGTTGTTTTACCTGATTATTTTAGAGAAATGTGTTTCGCTCCGGTCTGTAAAGGAGTGTTTTTTTTTTTAAATCGAAACAATGGAGATGTTAACCATTTTTACCATACGATATTATAACGAAAGAATAAAGCATAAAATATGTAAATAAATGTCCGATCAATGTAAAAACTACCCAAAAATATGCGAGAAACATTGAATCGAAATCAGTGCACTCAAGCGTAATCATCATGAAACACATAAAACCAGGCTTGCGATTGTACAATAAGTCTACTTGTGACGAAGTCTATTCCTTGGAAATATCTTTGATTATGACTGCAGTAATTTGGGTCTAATGTGATCTAATGAATTATTCTTCATTACTAGGACTTATTATACATCAATACTAATCTTTCTTTGCGGCGGGATTCTATCCCACAATGCAAAGCATTGATTTGCGCATGTCAGTTAGGAGCATTGCAAATGGCGGCTCTTGTTATTGTTCCGTAGCGTTTATGACTTTGTCCATTATTATGTCCGCTTTTTCTACATTTTTAGGTAAGATGACATGAGTAATCAAATAATACGAAGTTTCTTGTGTGTGATGATTCGTTTTAAAGTGGTGTGCAGTGATGGATTGGTTCTCAAAGCAAGTTAATGGATATACGAAAATTGGGTAAGATTAGATTTTCCGTATTTTATTCGATCTATTTTTCGTATCCTGACAATATTTACCGTCTAAATTTGTTTAAGACCCGACGCATTGTGTGTTACCGATGATTCGATTAAATTCCTTGATTTATTCTTAATTTATAAAAGCTACTTTTAATAATTTTATTTGAAATTTAAGTTAAATTTTCACTGAATATTTGGAACATGCTGGAGTGATATTCCACTCCCCCATGTCACAAAATGGAGGTCGGGATCCCCTTCAAGTTATTAATGTTACTCATTAATAGAATATGTTACTAATCCTACGCATTGGGGTGGAAGAAACGTTTACAAAATGTAAATCAGAATAATCTTTAGGAAGTAAAAACATTCCCTGGCTCCCTTTTCTTGTTCAATTACTTAAGCCTAGCTGTAATTGTAGGCCTTGGTTAGGTTTACCCTGGTGGGGTAGCTTTGCCATCAATGACAGTAGGTTGTTAAAATTAGCTTTTTATAACAATGTATAGGTGTTTTAAGCTTAAATATAATAAAGAACATGGTATTATACATTTGAATCCAAATTTTTGGGCAAACTTATCCTACAATTGAACCTTAAGTTTTTTAATAGATCCCTAGATGAATGGTAAAACTTAGCCATCCAATCTAAAATTGGTTTTTAATTACCCTAAAGTAAAGGTATCTTACTGTATTTTAAGCCTTATTATAGTCCTAGTAGGAAGCCTAAGTTCAAAAAACCTGTTTGTGACAGCAAACAATTAACTTAATACAATTATGCAAATATAAAGTAGGCTAACTTAACTTAAGTTAAGTATAAACAGTTTTAACTTAGGCCTAACTTGGCCTTTTAAGTTAGACTAGGACACAGGGCTAGGGCATAACTTCATCATAGGGCACTATTTTCTTCATACGAGTACGGTTTAAGGTAGCCTAGGCTATCAGTCTTATAACTTAGCCCTTAAATCCTTTAAACTTAGTTGGTTAGTCTATCAAGGTAGCCTACTCAATATTCCCAAGATCTAACTTAACCCTCCGAGTGTCCCTTGTTTAGGCCTTAATGTCTGCCTAGGCTATTTTTTGCTCATTTGCAAGGTTTTATTAAAACGGATCTGAGAAGCTTGAAAACAATGTTAATTATACCTACTGTTCTATATAGGTACCATTTTGTTTGGAAAATCATGGACTTCAATATTATACATAGAACATAAGGATCATTCGTTTAAAAAAAATATTTTTTAGGTACCCTAGCCTAAAAAAAATATTTTGGAAAATTTTCAAAAAAAAAGTTTGTGCTCGCTCAATGAAATTGTATAAATTATACGCCTATAAATATTTGAAAATAGCCACTTTGTTCTAAATTTTATGAGGATTACAAATATATAATAATATAAGGAAGTAGATTTGCAAATAAATAAGTTATGGGCAAAAAACAGATTTCAGTACATAGTGTTTAGCTAAGAATGCATAGCCTAACCATAGCTGCTAGGAATCTGGCTGATAATTTACATCAATATCACTAGGCCTACCTACTTCTTCAGGATCATCAACCAGCCCTTCAAAATCACTTAAATCTTCTTATAATGCACCTTGTATATCACTACTTTTGATTTTTAACACTAAAACAATGATAAACGTAATAAAACACATCAGTCATCGGTCCGAGGTTAACCGAGCTGTTTACAAAATACGCACGTCAGCTGTCTGCTACAATATTTTTGGAACTAAAATGAATAGCGCTTAGAGACAGACCTCCGGAGAAAGCTCTGAATCTGTCAAATAAAACGATGCCTAACTCGATCCAGTTCAATCCGATTTTGTCAGTCATAGAGCCTTCGCCGTAAACAGTGTTTGTGAGTCGCTGCAGCGATACAAAACACTACACAAAGTGTGTTATGTGTCGCTGCAGCGACAAATAACGCTCGGAGGGTTAAATAGGTGTTTGTATACCGATAAGTTAAGCATAAGTTAAGCCAATTTTTTTGTGATTAATTTTTGAGTGTAAACCAAAGCATTCAGGAAACTTGAGTTAAGTAGGGGTATTACAATTTAACTTAAATTATGATAAAAAAATCTGCCTTAGTTAGCAACAGGCTTCTAAATTGTAAAAAGTAAACAAGTTAACTCTGAGCCTAAGTTTTAGAACGGCAAATATTTTCTTAAGTAAAATCTAAACCAGAACTTACTAAAGGTACCGTACCTAACTTAGCCAATGCATAACACCCTGGTACCCTGATGGTGTTAATACTTAGGCTTGATTAAATTTAACCTAAGTCAACTTAAGTTGTACCGGTATGTACAACAAAAGTTATATCAATAACAATGGAATTACAATAAGAATAACAATGGAATTACAATAAGAACAAATAGAACAATAAAGAGCAACGAGAACAACAAAGAACAAAACAAGCATTAATAAATTAAATTTAAGAGTACCAAATGTAACTAGAGGGTAGCATATTTCTGAACTCGTGTAAAAGAAGACACAAATATAAATAAAAAGTCTAGGGCCTAGTCGGCTAGATTTAATTCACTGTAACTTAGGTACTGCCTAACTTAACATACGGTACCTAGTCTAACTTACTTATCTCTTCCAAGAAAAAGAAAAGAAAAAATAGATTTACAAAATATTCTTCTGAAAAAGACTCTAAGGTAGGCTATGGCTGAAAATGTTCAAATAGGTTCAATATTTAACTTGAGTTTAAGTTGATCAATGTTAAGTTCAACCCATATCGCTTGAAACGATTTGTGATAACTAATGATTTAGGCTATAGGTACATATCAAATTAATAAACTTATTTCATCCGATAATATATTGTTGGTAGGTTCTCTGCGGTCAACTATAACTGACTTACGGTATCCCTTTTAACTTAGCATACCGGTACCCTAACATTGTTGGAAATTGTGCATATTAAGGTGACCATGGTAACCTTGTAGTAATTTACATATAAGGAGATAGGGCCTACGGTATATAGAAACTAGATTTTTACCTGAGAACAATGGTGCAAGATTTTTCTGCTGTGACAAAAACTGAATAAACTATGATTATTTAAATTTTATTAATTTAATGCCTCTTGTCTGCTTGTCTCTGTCGCCATTACTGTATTAGGTACTGTAAGTAAATTGAATACTAACACAAAAATGAATGATTGAAAGGATTAAGTTAAGTCTTTTTTAAGGAAGAAGGTGAAACCTAAGACAACAAACATTAAGTTTAGCGGGTACACTTCCATATCTGTTGGTACAAACAACCGAATGAAGATATCAATCGATAGGCTATATCGATTATTCGATATATCGTTTTTTTAGTTATGTAAGGTTAACCTAACCTAACTAACCAAACGATATATCGAATTAAACAATCAAATAATCAAAATTACTCATTCGGTTGTTTGTGCCAACAGATATGGAAGTGTACCCAGTTTAGCCTATACAAGGAGGACAATGCGGTAGAGACATTTGTAAATGCAACTGATTATTGATTATTGTGAACTAACTTAAGTTAATCAGTTCTTATTTAGACATAGGTTGGGTTTTATGTGGATTCGTGACTGTATAAAGTGTTATGAAGTTAGGTTAGATTTAGGGAGGTAAAGTTAAGGTTATATATTTAATGAATCAAGTTTATGTAAAAAAATTATGTTTTCACCAGAGTGTTTTTGCACTATTGAAATAAGTGAACACAATAAATAATTCAAAAATGCTAGCACCAAGTCGGAAATGCCCGAGCAGAAGTTCTACTGCTCTTGTCGACGTTCTGCAGATGACTCGTTCATCTAACCCAAAATGATTAGTGGCCAAACTAGTGCAATGCCAGTACTGTGTGTGATTTTCATTTTCTAGGTTATTGCGGATCATTTGTACGTTATAATCATTACTGAATCATTATTAGCCCAATTTAAATTATTAATTTTAAGAAATCACAAATTTCTTGTTATCATTACTTAACTTCAAACTGAAACATTCCTATAAACGTAATTATTGTTTTCAAACTGGAAATAAAAAATATATATATTTACCTGGCTAAAACAACCTCAGATAACCGGAGCTCGGAGTGTACTGTACAGTTGTTTTGGTTGTTGCAAATGGAAACTGTTGTTGATAAAATATTAACAAATGTTTGTTTACATTGACAGTACTTAACAAATTTGATTGAAAACATTAAGTTTGCATTATATATTTGCACTGTTAACATTCTTTTTGAATGGTAAACAATCATGAACTTTTGCTGGTGATAAACATATCACGAAAAAAATTGATTACATAGTAGAGAAGTGAAAATACAAAACACCATAGCCTATATCAACAAACAAAAGAAACATGTACGGTACAATATAAACTGTTTACTTTTAAACTTTAAAATAGGTTTGCCGGATTCAAGATGCACTTTAGCACAATGCGCAAAAGAAAACTACCGCTGCGGTAGTCTCAAAAAATCGCTCAGCAAGCGGTAGTGCTGTGTGACTTGGTCCATTTGATAACATGGTGAGCGATTTTGCAAAGTTCGCTCCTGCCGCATATATATTTTGTATTTTTGTAACCAACTCACACAATAATCCAAACATTTAAAAATATGTAATAGGCTAATATACATTCTATAAGCACAATATTTAACAGGCTATAAGACTCACTTGGAACTTATTCTTGAAGAAAAAGCCTATTTCTAGTTCTAAAGGTTTAGTGTATTAAAGTGAAATTATTATGGCTGTAACTTGCATCATTGTCAGAATGTAACACCTCAGTATCTCGAATTTTTCACTTCCCCTTTCAGTTTTAAGATATATAGGTCCGTCTATTCTTATACTGGACTCCACGTAGCCACTTCAGACCTTGCTTTGCAGTGGTTAGCTTACTGATCATCTAACCCAAGATAAACAAATCAAATCTCGTCAGTAGTAGGCCTAGCGCTATATTTGTTATTTTTTGTTTATTATATTTTGTAATATTTATATTTTGTAGGCCTAGGCTATATAGAAATTGTATATTTCTTGGAAATAATTAATATTTTCT